AACCTTCCTTCTCCTTCCCCAGTGCAGGGTAGCCTAAATTTCCCCTAGCTTCTTTGCTTCATATAGTATATACAGAGGCATTCAGCGCGCAGACCTGATTGACTTGACTTTGTGCTGCTACAGGTATTACACTATATGACATGGACTACCTGTGTAATGCACCAGTGCGACTCCACGTGCAAGCATGTATTCACTACCTCTCACGTTATCCTATAGAATAGATTCGGCAGCACCATGCGTATGAAGAAAGCGCATGGGTTCATGACCACTATACCTACAGTTGAGACGAAAGGAGAAGAAAGCGATCAAGATCCGAGCAGCACCCGAACAGAGCCGAAGACAAGGGGAGCGACAGATGCGTAGTTGCCGTTGGCGTCTACACACACGCAACGAAAAGAAATAAAAATCGCGCAAGATCAGCATAAGTAAACGGGAGAGATAGAACCGACAAGGCGGCGGCGCAGCCATCTCGTCCCGCAGCTTCCGATCATCGTCAGTCTCTGTCAGAAAGCCTTTCTGAATCTTCGGGCGCGCGGAGTAAATTTCCCAGAAACTGAATATCGAAGCGCGTGGCTGGCGATTCACCACCCCGCACTTCCTTCCTTTTGTTTCTCTCTGCCCTTTCTTTTTTTTTTCTCGTTCGTCCCTCCTTTCCCTCCTTCCGTTGTTTCCCCAAAGCTCGAGCGCTCCCAAACGCCAGCTTTCTCTTCCCTTTCTCAACAAACTCTCCCTCATACTCCTAGCACACGCATGACCTGTGTCTTTCCTTCTGTCCTCATTCTCCCTTACGCAAGCTCGCTTACTGAAGGCCCCCGTTTTCCTTCTCTCTTTTTTTTCCCTTCCTCTTCCGACCGCCACACTTCCTGATTCGAACTAGAAGTCTCGTATTATCACTGTTTCGTTTGTTTCCAGTCAATCTTATGGCGTCGCCTTCCCGAATTTTTTCTCTTCATTCCCACACACGTTCCTTTCTTTCCCCTCATTCTGTCTTTGTCTTTCCCTTTTTTTTCTCGTGGTTCTCGTGTACGCACTTCGTGCTGCTTCTTCGTCGACGGCCTGTCGCCCGCGAGACGTCTTCCATCATTCTGTGCGTTGCCTCTCTTTAGCGCATTGCGTCCCACCGTCTATTTCCTCGGCCCTTCGCGCAGTTCGTATGCGCATTTCCTCGCGGCATGCACCCTTCCGCAGCGCGCTGCGTTCCTTATCTTAAGAATGGGCCTGCGTGCATAATATTGCATGCGCCGATGTGAGCCGCTGTTTCAGCCCGGGCTGTGGCATACGGATCCTTTCGTTGAGTTGAGTCTCTCTTTTTGTTTTCCCTATTCGATCGATAAGCATTAAGGTTCTGCCAGCCTGGAACATCAGCGGCAGCTGATTAGGTACTCAAACACGTGCGCCAGTGCTCGTTTCATCTCCCGTCAGATACAGGATCGGTTGAGCCGTGGTATTCCGCTGCGTGACTGCCTTATCGCTGTTTCTATTTATAGGGCTGTTGCGATAGCATACGTGATTCCCTGTGCAAGGAAGTGACATCACGCTTCTGTTAATTGCTTACACGCAAGATAACAACACTTGATTAGGGCCAAATTATTAAACAAATAAATTTCGGTTGATAAAACAAGATGTTCTGGTCAGGAAAGTCGAGGCAATCACTCAATTTCTTCATTCCCGTCTCTTTCTTGAAAAACAAGATTAGGTGGTTTAACGTTCAGTAGAGGTTTATTGATAGTGCAATGTCATCGCCGAGGTTGTCATAACAACATCGCTACACAACAACGCTTCTGACCACAATTTGTGCGCCTTTTGAGGTGAAATATATGGGCGTGCTCTGGCGATGTAATTAGCTTGCTCAAGAGACAGCTATCATCCGGTGAAGTCATCATTTGGCCTTGTTTGAACCGAAACTGGCACCGCTGTTTGCAAGGTATGTGTGTAGCACTGCCAAGAAAAAAATGCTAATCGGAAAAAAGCTCGCGAATATTACCAAAGATGCACTTGGAGACACATTTTGAATTTTGTGTCAATTATTACTTCTTGCTATAACCAACATGCCAATGTGATATGCTTATATACTGTTGGGCGTTCTCACATACTATTTCTTTTTTTCTTAAAAACTAGGTTGACGACTGCAGAGCTCACACTACTGAATTTAAAATTAATCTGTTTCTGCGAATTACATTTTTCTTGATAAGCGTCGAACTGAACACCTACTGTTTATTACCAGGTCCTCAGAATCATAAAACTGTACAACTCCTAGTATCCCATCGTCCACATCGCGAACTCAACGCAACGTTTTCTACCCCATCACCCGGGTGTAGATAGAGATATAAACATTTCGTCGTTTATTCGCTCGAATGCGCACGATATGCAACTTCGTAAAATGTCGCCTCTCCGCCTTATCAGTGTTCCACGCGGCACGTAACAAAGTCGAGTTATCGACAAGACTTAGAGTATACGACGTGAAAGCTACGATGTCAAATAGAATAGGAGAAAAAAAAAAACGTCTATAGGAGGCCGGGCCAATCGCGATACGCAGTTCCACGAGAATGCGCGGTTGGTGCGAGGTTTTTTAACCCGTAGAAAAAGCAGCTGCACTGCTCGATCTCTTAAAAGCACCGACGCTGTCCGCCCTCACGAAGTACCCTTCCCACGCCAGTCCCGCCTTTCCGATTTTTCGAATCTTCTACAACCCGCTCGTCTTGTTCTCTTTTATGACCAGAACGGCGTGTTAACTTCACGATTGTCGAAGAGCGCTTCTGTTTCCTCGGCCGGGACTGTAAAACGGTGGCGCGCGTTCAACTGGCATGCCACAGACTCGTGCGTGCGTAGAAAAGCGAAACAAAACAAGGAAGGAATACTAGAGATCAAATACCGCAGTATATGGTATACGATGAGTCGAGCGAGAGTGCGGCAAGCTACTTGGAGATGTAAATGAACTAAATACGAGACCCGGGCGAAGGAAGGAACACGAAAAAAACATAAGATAGACAAAATATGCGGTGCATGGTGATCAGGGAGCATTCGACATCTTGTCTCGGCCACACAGTTTCCGGCGACCGTTTTATTCTTTTTTTTTTTGCACGAATGCGCACACACGTTTGTTCCTGCACCGAAGACGACGACAAAGACGGGGGAAGAATTTTTACGGCTCCACTCGTGTTCTCGGCGGTTAATAAAAGCGAAGTAATCGTAAAACTATATCAGGCCAATAAAATCGCGAGCCAGTCCCGTACATATACATGCCCATCACTCCCTCCCTACCCTCTCACACCCCCGTGCCTCTGACACCGCATCCAGTGCTTGGGTTTCTCTAGCAGGAAAGAGAGAGAAATATATCGTGACTCGGGCGAGACCAATAAAAAAGGGCTCGCGTTCCGTCGTTGTCTAGCTCGCTGCATATTCTGCCTCTTGCATCTTCAACTAGCAGCCAAATGTGCGTATTGTATTCCATTTAAGGAGCCTCCTATGGCGAGTAAGCAGGCTGTACGGAGAAAACAACTTGATCGCTTCTCCACCGATGGCCCCCTCTTCGCCCTCTCCCTCTACCATTCACCCCGCAGGGTGAATAGCATAGAGTAACGCTCTTTCGTTCTGATTTGAATTTCATTTTGAGTGATTAAAAAAATACACTGGCGAAAACACGGGTCGCATGCTACCCATGCGTGACAGGACCTCTCGAAAATTCGACTCGGAAAGGGAACCAGAAGAAAATGGAAAGGCTGAGGGCATTGTATAAGTGAAGACTGAAGCTGAGCCTGTGAGCGTGCGAAGAGTGAGCAGCGAAGACGAAATCAACGTGGCCCGCAACGTGGAAAGCGGATTTAAATAACATTGTGATAATAAATGAGAGAGGGAGCTGTAAAGGGCGCGAAAATGCGTGCAAAAGAGGGTGACGCCAGAAACAAGTCCTATACTGCCGATGCCGTTGCAAAGCGGTGCGCGCTTTCCAGAGATAATAAATTTCCGAGGCGCCCAGAGAGTTGAAAGATAGTTGGCAGACTTCGGGAACGGGGAAATAAAACACGCCTCGGAACGAGTGAGTGCACGAGCGCTTCGTGGTGGAGCGGAGCTCTACAACGCGTGAGCGCAACGACTTTACGATTGGCGGCGCGCGTTTGGGGGAGACTGTCCCTATACGCACTGCCTACTTTTCTTCTTCGTTTATCTTCGGTGACGGCCGTGTGACGTCAGCTTCTTTAAATGCCGTCTGAGTTGGCACTGCTGTTTTTTTTTTTTTTTTTTGATCCGCGGTTTACTGTCGAGTGAAGTTCTGTGTGCGTCCAAACGTACAGGCGCTGTCAAAAAATACTCTGAATATGCTTCTTAATATTATGCTTGCTCATACTGAGGTTACCTAGTTTGAGGTGCAGACAAGATCATAAGTTGCCAATTTTCCACCTCACCCACATAGCCAGGAATCTGGGGATATTTGTACGCGGTGCCAGGTGGCAGTGAAGGCGTCCTGCCATATCTGAACGTGAACTAGGAGGGGAAAAGTCTTATCTCACCGAAAAACGCAAGTAACAAAAAAAGGACTTTGGTTTTTATACAGGAAACACACTGGAACGTTTTGGTATAATTGCACTATCGCAATAATAATTGTGTGGTTTTTTTTTTTCTCAGGGACAATTGAACACCCTCATGAGAAACAAATGGGGCCGCATTGTAAAATATTAAACACTGTTGGAAACCACGTCATTTGTAGTGCAACACTGCAAGTTTCTCACAATATTTGAATAGGTAATGTATAGAACCGGGAGGCCTTTTTGGTAGGTAGCTTTTTTTTTCTGCCAGATACGATTTTTCCTCGCCAATTTCCCATTAAGTTACGGCAGACCACCGCTGGCACCCGAGAGAGCTGTCGCTATATGCACATGTCCCCAAGTTTTTATGCAACGGCTCGCGTTGCATAGATAGAATACGTTCTAAGTACACGTAAACACTACATAACTACAAAGCACGTCACTTCGAGACGATTATCGTGGACGAAGCACACCAACCTGCCAAGTGTCCGTTCTCGTATCCCGGGTAGTCGTCCATGCGGCCCTTCTTGCCCATCATGCCCAGTGGACTCCATTGCTCGGACTCATCGACATCAGCGAGGAACGCTTGGGTGGCCGGGCTTGGCTGCAAGGTGTAAAGAAACAAACCACGAGACATCAGCCTGCTGTTATCGACACCTTTGGAAATAAAACAGCTCCAAAATGTAGGAATACATACAGGAAAAGCTAGGTGAGTAAATATCAGTTCGCAAGCGCTATTTACCGTTTAGAGTGGCAAAAAAGCTCAACTTGGTGGTGAAGATTCACCATGAGAGAAGGTAAGGCATTCGCACACGGACAAACTAGCTGGAAAAGTAAAACACAAACACTCCAACCTAATGGACATTTGTGTTGTCATGTGCTCTCTTGGGACCATGCTCACCTGCCCTACGTTCTTCTGCGATATTTCCTCTCTCTCCTATTTTCCTTTTCTTTTCTTTTAATCATTGACCGGCATATTTCGATATAGTAACCTGCCCAACATTTCAATAGGCTCGTTGTAACGTCATGAACGCTTTTATAGAGGAAACCTTCATGTTCATATAATCTTATAACAACCATATGATTGGCTTAAAAGGAATTGCAAGAAAGAAAAAAAAGGGAGGGGGGGTTGCGGAAGGTGTGTTGTATCGCAGAAGTAACAAAGCCCTCTAAGGCAGCTATAGCAGTGAATTGAAGGAAACATGTAAAGAAGCCCAGAAGACATAAATATGGCTTTGTATGATGTCATCCAAAGCACGCGAAAAAAATCTAGCCGCCCATGTTAAACATTCGTGGTGCGTATATATCCAAAACGTAAAACCAACTTTCAAACCGAAGCAAACCTGACATTGAAGAACCTATGCTCCAAGAATCGTTCCACACAACCCACTGATCCTTGCACAGGAGAGGAATCGACCATGCAGTTGCCTACGACTCGCTGATTACATCGCACTTATCTCTCTTCCCAGCAGGAACAGCGGCGGACAATCTATAGCACATGCTCTTCATTCTCACACAGTCACCAACATTATGCTTCACGGGTTTGTGCGGAACAATAGCATCATTCGCGAGGAACAGCCTTATCCCGCCGGCATCCGAGCTTTCACGAGGCGCGATGCTGAACGCGGTGAAGTCGAAAGGAAAACCACGTTACGGGTCGGGGGGAGCTTGCACCTAGAAGAATCGCTTCTTTTCAACTTTTAGACCCTCAGCTTTCGTAGCATTGCCGCTGAAAAAGACAAAGCGGCCTATTTCACAGGAGCCGCCACAACGCACCAGGCTCCGTTGCGCAGGCACGTCAACCACGCGATGGCTATGTAGACGAGGAAGCATCGCGCCGCCTCCGAGCAAGTTTAGTCGCAAATATTCGGCCAATTCGGCCAATGCTCACGTTCAGCGAGAAACAGACGTGTCGAGCTATATTACGAGAAAACCGAGAAAGTATCAGAAAATATACAACGATATACGGTACACATAGTGGTCGCCTGTCCCGCCACAAAACCAGAGGCTCGCTCGTCCCCAGGGCACGCTACGCAATCAAGCTTCAAAAATCCACTTTGGGCGCCGTGGCGCGCCCACGAAATGCGACGGCGTAAAAAAAGCGGTTTGGTTGGCCTGTTTGCTGCGGGTCTGTGGCATCATCACTGCTCCTCCGCGCCTTTCCATCCAATTTGCCCCGTGTCCGGAGGACGGGCGCCCAGTAACCACCTCACTCTTGATACGTGGCCCTTCGCGAAAAAAAAAGCTCACCATCCCCGCTACCCCGGTGTTCTCCAACGACAACAACAACGTGCGGCCATTTCAATTTGACAGGACGTACGCCTCTCGAAAGACAGTTCACTGGTTCGGCTTCTCCCCGGAGCTTCGCCGTAGCGTGGCGCATTCCCCCTTCCTTTCCTTTCCATTTTCGGGCGCGCTTGCTTCTCTGCGGTGCAGCGGCGTTGGTCCAAGTAGCCGATCTCATTTTCGAGGGACGACGACACGTAATATGCGCGCGCCCATCTCCCGCGGCGCGTCGCCAGCGTGCGTGAGAGAGAGTGTAAGTGTGGACGGCACCCGACGGGCGCGCTAGGGTTTGTAACAAGGGGAGTGGGCAACGCTGGTCGCTGTAGGATACCTCTCGTATTTTTCGGTGGGAAGCGCAGCGGGTGTGGGTAGCGACGTGTTTGTGAGCTCCGCCAGAGGTCGGTGTTCTTCTCGGGTTCATGAACGAACACGTCGCTCGAGGTGCACGCTCGCTGGTTGTTTGCTTCGAAATTGAATTGCGGCCTGACGAGACGCAGCGCCGAATCTTGTATCCATTTCTTTGTAAATCCAATCTCAAGCGGTGGCGTCGAGGCAGGTTGACACACGCGGGAACGGGGAATGTGAAGCGCACATAGTGTGAGTGCTCGCCGATGTTCACTATTCAGGCAGACTGCATAGCTCGAGTGCCTAGCAAGAAATTGTACTATGAGCATTGTGGCCGAACAGCGCAAAATGCGGGAGAGTGGAACACGCGGGACACAGCGCCGTGTCCCGTGTGTTTAACTGCCCCAGTATTTTGCGATGTTCGACCATATTGTTGAAGAACCGACTAGCCCGCCTAATAAGCATTGCGCCATTCTGCGAGCTTATCCAATGTGAGATACGCTTGAAGCTAGCATTAACCTGTAACGACCGAAATGAGACAGATAAATGTCTCTTTGGCATACGCAGTTAAGACCAATTCTTTCTGAGCTGTCCATGTTTGTTAGTGACGTAAGATCAATTGAAGCTTTTACGTACTCTGCCAATTTCCTTTGTCGCGCCCATACGCACCCAAACACAAACACGCCAACATGCGCACGTGAGCGAACGCTTTCCACCTACTCCGGTAATCAGCCTCACTTCTTTTTCGCGTCTTGCTCCGTGTCAATCTATTATTATGGAATCAAAAATCAAATGGTGTTGTTGCATTCACAGAAACGGAAAATGTGCGTTTTAAATAAACCCCGCAACACATCTATGATAAATCGTCTAATGGCTTCATTGATAGAGCGTATCACCTCATGAGTGATACAGAGCGTATCCCCTCACTACCGCAAAATTGTTTTCAGAATCCGTCAAGTACAAGTAGAGATACAGGGATTCTTCGCATGTTTTAAGCACCGTCTCAGCGTCTATGAGTCTTTTGATCAGTGCGTGTGACCACCTTCAGCACTTTTCGAGAGCACGCACATTCTGTGCGCGTGCTCTGCTCTCTGTCTCTTTCAACACTTTTAGAGCTCCCATGTCATTTTCTCAAGCGTAAGGCAGCATATTCATCTTTCTAGAGTGGTTATAATCTCTGCCTTTCCTTTCTCTGCCGTCCTTTCCTTCCTCGAGTGCATGGCTTTCCTTCTGTGTGATGGCTATAATGTGGCGACCTCCTATGGCGGCCACGGTAACTACGCTGCTCACGATACTCAAATTAGCCCACAGCCATGGACTTGGGTGTATGTCGCATATTTCGGGCATACGACATCATTTGTAGTGAAAATAGGGAGCTATATCTAACTGCTTTCAAGAGTTCATTGTAAATTCCTGGCGTCATGCTGCGACATAATGTTTGGTTCGTGTGTTATCAGAAGCCTCGACTACCTATAGGCAGTGTTTTATGACAATGCTGAGAAGTGTTTCAGGGTAATTTTGATGAACTCACGAATGAGTGCTCCCCTGAGTACACTTCGCAAACCACACGAGTTCAAAAACCACTCGCGCGAACCTACGATGAACCAGATCACCCAGTAAGCAATGTCAACCGCTCCCTTTCTTTTACACGTCTCCGCTGAGTCAACACTAAAGGCGGTAAGCGGCGATAAAAGCTGTATATGCCTGCGCATACGAACAGAACCGCAGTAGCGTGACTGCGTTTACCTACTTTTCAAACAACAGCATTGAGTTGAACTGTGAGATAACAACCCGGCTTTTTAAACAAAACTTCAAGAAGCTGAGAGTCAGCAACTACCTTCATATACCCTGCCCAGATCCAAGTTGTGCGATCGCTAAGTCACGAGACCTACGGATTATTGCGCATGCATCCACCACTAAAACATTTTCTTTCCATTTATTACCCTCCATTCATCGCACATTCCCTCCTATAATACAAGGTGGAAAACCAGACGCCAGTCTGCTGGACATCTATATAGAATTACCCTGCCGATCTATCTATACTTATTTCTGCAGTTAATGTTTACAAAGCCAGTCAATCTATCTCTCTCCTCAGCATCGGCGCCGCTGTCGATGAAACTTCCGCATTACGCCTTTACACGTTCGTACTCTCGTAACCTGCAACGTTTAAGCAATCCCAAACCGTAGCCTTTGCAGCGCATGTGGTACGCGAATCTGTGGCCAGTCGTACCCCCCCCCCCAAAGAAAAAAAAAAGAAACACAAGAGAGAACAAGTGGCGTAAAGCTGCCTGTCTGTGGTGCTATGGCTGCAGCAAGCAGCGCGCCTTTCTCACTCCACTGTCAGCGCGGCTGTGAATGGCGCAGCTGGAGATCGGGTCCGGTCAAGACCGATCGCGCCGGGGGTCAAGCGCGTATGCGGCCACCACTGGTCGTCCATCGCCCCTTTCCCCATCTCAATGCAACCTCCACGCAAAGGGCTGCGATGCACCGGCCTACACCGCCGTAGCTTTTGTGCTTCGTCGTGTCCTCGCCTCGTTCATTTTCATCGTCCTCTTTTTTTCTTTATCAAAGCTTGCCACTCGAAAGAGCAGCTTCTCCTCCACCTTGTCGGTGCCGCAGGTTGGCCGCTATGGGCCACTTGAGCGCTCGTGTATCTGACAAGAGAAAGTTCCACGGAGACCCCGAGTGCGATTGATTGATTCATTGTGTGCAGCCAGGCCTGAGAAAGGGCGTCTGACCGAGGTGCCACAACCCCGACGCTGCCTTTCGAGCTGCTGCGATGGTGGCGAGATGGGGTCCAGAGATTCCGGCAGTTGCAGAGAACCCTCGTGGTATCACAATTCGCTGCGCTTCTGTTTGGTTCGTTTCTTAATGTATTTCTCGACGTAGTTTTTGATTGGCAAAACGCACTGTCTTC